CGCCAACTCGTGGGACACCTTGAATCCGGAAGCGCCCCACCATCTGTTGCACGCATCCGCACACTTCCCCTTTGCATCGGTATCTCAATCAAGTACCGGAACCGGAACGTTGCCGTGGCACCGTTATTGTTATCATCGCCGTGGCACCCCTTTCTTTCTACCACGGTGACAAATGCTCTCATCACGCTCATGTCAACTTTTAATAAAAATTGCATAAAACTTGCAAACATCATCTGCATCATGATAATAACCTTTAATAACCTTTAAATGTTTAAATTTGTTGTTGCACCAAATTGCTAAATGCATATGGGGATTTACCGGAGTTGTTGTTGTTGTTTCCGGCCTCATTTAAAATGCCTAACTATGTTTTCTACTCATGTTTCACCTCTTGCCATGTTTAACAACATTTAATATTGTTGAGTATCTAACCGAGAGTGAACCAAATAAGGATGTGGTGTTCCGTCAATATGTAACTCGTTGCATATTGAGCTCCACTTAACTTGTAGTATTGTTTGTGCACTTTGCCATGTCATGCCTCATTAAACCGGACATGCATCATACTTGGTTGTGCATCATGCCATGTTATGCTTGGTTGTTTACTATGTTGTTTGCTTCTTTCCGTTGTTGCTTCTTCGGGTTAGTTCCGTTAACGTCGCGTTTGTGAGAATCCGTTCGACTATGTCCGTGTGTCTTCTTCATGGACTCGTTCTTCTTCCTTGCGGGATCTCAGGCAAGATGACCATACCCTCGAAATCAATTCTATCTTTGCTTGCTAGTTGCTTGCTCTTTTGCTATGCCTATGCTACGATACCTACCACTTGCTTATCATGCCTCCCATATTGCCATGTCAAACCTCTATTATGTCAAACCCTCCCATATTGCCACTTGCTTATAAAGCTCCGGCCAGCCAACTGCGCCTGCTCTTCCCTTCGTTTTTCTCGTTTTCTTCTCTGTATCTCTCCTCTCTGAAACTCTCTCGATTACATGTACATGCTCACAGGAGTACATCCGCTGCTGCCGATCGAGCGCCATGCGCCAAGTCCCTGTCGCCGCCCCTGTTTTCCCCTGCTTCGAGCGGACGTGACGATGCGCCCCTGCTCCCTGCGTGGACCGCTCCAGCGACCGCGCTCGTTGACTCCGCCGTTCCCAGGGCCCTGCATCCTTCTGCCCGTGAGCACCTTTGCTGCAGCCTCCTCGAACCGGATGCACACCGTCGCCTTCCTCCGCTCTCACCGCCGTCCTGCCGGTGGGCAGCACAAGCAGCGCCCGCATCCTGCCAGAACCGTCGCCCCAGGTGGATTGACTCCTCCTCGTCGCCCTCCTTCGCCTGGAGCCGCCGGAATCGCGCCAAGTTCGCCGCCGTCGTCCAAGTCCCTCGCTGGCAACGACGAACCAGGGCGGCCATGGCCCCTGCTTCGAACGAACGGGCACAGCCACGCTCGTTGTGCGTTGACCACGGCCCAGCCCAGATCCGCCGGCCACCGCTCTGCTTCCCTTCGGCCCGTTGGCCCAATGTGAGAAGCCACCATTTTTCCCTCGCCCCGTGCACTGCATACTATCCTGCGCCCAGCAATTTCGGCCCGCTTATGTTTTTTTACACATCTGCGTTTTTTTTTCTTTTATCCAGAGTCAGCTGTTTTACAGAAAAGCCCTATTACTTCATTCATTTAATAACTCACCAACCATGCATCACATGTAAAAACTGTATATATGTAATATGACTAGGATTTTGTGTAGTTTCATAATATCCAATTTTCATCCATGTTTAAAATGATTAAATTGCCGTTTGTTTAAATTTGCCCCTATGCCATGTTAAAATGATTTATTTCATAACTAAATAACTGTAGCTCGGATTTAAATAAATTATATATGTAAATGGGGTAGAAAAATGCCTAGTTTAACATGGTACACTTTATTTTGCTGTTTAACAACATTAAAATTGTGTTTAGGGCAGAACAGTACCAAATCTAAAATATGCACACGAGGATTTTCCGGAATTGTTGTTTGTTGTTTCCGGCCTCATTTAAACTTGCCTAAATAGTTAGTTTACTTATGCTTCACCTCTTGCCATGTTTTACAATATTTAATATTGTTGGGTACATAAACGAGATCGAACTAAATAATTAATGTGGTGTTCCGTCAATATGCAACTCGTTGCATATTGAGCTCGACTTAATTTGTAGGATTGCTTGTGCATTTTGCCATGCCATGCCCTCTTTAAACTAGACATGCATCATACTTGTTTGCGCATCATGCCATGTCTATGTGATGGTTGTTTACTAGGTTGTTTGCTCTTTTCCGGTGTTGCTTCTTCGGGTTGGTTCCGATAACGTCGCGTTTGTGAGGAACCGTCGACTACGTCCGTTTGTCTTCTTCATGGACTCGTTCTTCTTCCTTGCGGGATTTTAGGCAAGATGACCATACCCTCGAAATCACTTCTATGTTTGCTTGCTAGTTGCTCGCTCTTTTTCTATGCCTATGCTGCGATACCTACCACTTGCTTATCATGCCTCCCATGTTGTTAAACCAAGCCTCTAACCCACCTTGTCCTAGCAAACCGTTGTTTGGCTATGTTACCGTTTTGCTCAGCCCCTTTTATAGCGTTATTAGTTGTAGGTGAAGATTGAAGTTTGTTCCTGGTTGGAACATGGAGATGTTGTTCCTTGTTGGAACATGTTTACTTGTTGGGATATCACCATATTTCTTATTTAATTAATGCATCTATATACTTGGTAAAGGGTGGAAGGTTCGGCCTTATGCCTGGTGTTTTGTTCCACTCTTGGCGCCCTAGTTTCCGTCATATCGGTGTTATGTTCCCGGATTTTGCATTCCTCACGCGGTTGGGTTATAATGGGAACCCCTTGACAGTTCGCCTTGAATAAAACTCCTCCAGCAAGGCCCAACATTGGTTTTACCATTTGCCACCTAGCCTTTTCTTTCCCTTGAGTCGGCCGGATCAAGGGTCATCTTTATTTTAACCCCCCCGGGCCAGTGCTTCTCTAAGCGTTGGTCCAAACTGAGCGATGTCCGGAGCTACCAGGGGCAACTCTGGGCTGGCCTACCCGACGTCTGGCTCATCCGGTGTGCCCTGAGAACGAGATATGTGCAGCTCCTATCGGGATTTGTCGGCACATCTGGGTGGCTTTGCTGGTCTTGTTTTACCATTGTCGAAATGTCTTGTAACCGGGATTCCGAGCCTGATCGGGTCTTCCTGGGAGAAGGAATATTCTTCGTTGACCGTGAGAGCTTGTGATGGGCTAAGTTGGGACACCCTGCAGGGATATGAACTTTCGAAAGCCGTGCCCGCGGTTATGGGCAGATGGGAATTTGTTGATGTCCGGTTGTAGAAAACCTGAATCTTAACTTAATTAAAATGCATCAACCGCGTGTGTAGCCGTGATGGTCTCTTTCCGGCAGAGTTCGGAAAGTGAACACGGTGTTGGAGTTATGCTTGACGTAGGTTGTTCTAGGATCACTTCTTGATCATAGTTTCTCGACCGTGCCTTGCCTTCTCTTCTCGCTCTCATTTGCGTATGTTAGCCACCATATATGCTAGTGCTTGCTGCAGCTCCACCTCATACCTTTTACCCTACCTATAAGCTTAAATAGTCTTGATCGCGAGGGTGTGAGATTGCTAAGTCCCCGTGACTCACAGATACTTCCAAAACCAGCTTGCAGATGCCGATGATATCGTGCAGGTGACGCAACCAAGCTCAAGGAGGAGCTCGATGAAGATCGTGTTCGTTTTGTTGTTCCGTTTCCAGTTGATCAGTAGTGGAGCCCAGTCGGGGCGATCGGGGATCTGTAGCATTTGGGGTAGTCTTCTTTTATTTTGGTACCGTAGTCGGGCCTTGATTGTATCTGGATGTTGTAATGCTATATTCATGTATTGTGTGACGTGGCGATTGTAAGCCAACTATGTATCTCTTTCCCTTATGTATTACATGGGTTGTGTTAAGATTACCTCACTTGCGACATTGCTTACAATGCGGTTATGCCTCTAAGTCGTGCTTCGACACGTGGGAGATATAGCCGCATTGTGGGCGTTACAGTGCTACTCCTGGAACTCGTCTGGAAAAGCTGGGCGCCGCCGCGGGTGAAGTTCTTCCACTGATTGGCCAACCAGGATCGATGTTGGACCGCTGATAGGCTTGCTCGCCATGGACTGCAGCACCATCCCCGCTGCCTCCTATGTGACTAAACCCCGAAAACTATTCGGCATCTACTGCTGGACTGCCCCTTCGCCTGCCAAACCTGCATGAAATCCTAGCTTGGCTAAGAATACCAATCCGGACTCCAGACCATGAAGCCACGCTAATGGATTGGTGGCTGCGCGTGAAACAGGACACGCCGACGATGCAACGCAAGGCTCTGGCATCTATCGCCCTGCTCGTGCCTTGGATGGTCTGGAAACACCGGAACGAGTGCGTCTTCGAGAATGCCAAACCTTCAACTGCTACACTAGTTCGCAGGATCAAAGATGAGGCCTCCTCCTAGGCAAAGGCTGGTGCTCCAGGACTCAGGGTCGTTCTACCCTCAACCTGGATATTCACTGATTTTCTTTCATCTTTTTGTACACCCCACCTCCTCGGAGGATTGTAACTGAACTTCTACCTTTTCAGTGAGAAGAAACGCAAAGGTCCTTTGCGTTTTCTCGAGAGATAAAAAAACATCAAAGAGGGTTTCTTCAAATTCCTGTGCTTGTGATACGTTCAATTTGGTCATGGGCTCATGGCGTGCGTTGCACATGGCACAGTTACTAGTAAGAACAAGAAAGAGGTCTAATTATGTTTAGTACCACCACAAATGCAGTCAGCATACTTATAGGTTGCAGAATTCCTATAACAGAAGAAAAAACAAAAGGACACATGATAGACTGTAACTGATTTTATGTAACTCAAACAAAAAATGCACCTCAAGCAAACACACCTTAGAGATCTTCAAACAAGTTTAAATGTTTAATCATAACTAACATTAAGAATATGGTCAAAAAAACATACCTGTAGCGCACAAAAGGCAGCCCCCAAGAGACATCCAAGCTTGAGTTGGGTTTCTTTCAAAATAGTAGTAGATGTATATAGGATTGAATGCCCGTAATACTTCTGTACCATATTTCATAATGTTATATATTCCTATCCCAGAAAGGCAGCAAAACCATATGAACAAGGCAGGTCCAACAGCAAGCCCAATTTTGCTTGTTCCAAACCTTTGCAGACTGAATAGAACAATGAGAAATGCAACGCTTATCATGACCACTTCACCTGCCAAAAAAATTACAATATAAGGTGAGCATCCTGCACTTTTAAGCAGTACCATAATTTTCTATTTAACCAATTAATACCAAGCAATATATTCAAGGTCACCTTCATTAACACTAGATATTCCAACCTTCAAGCCATTAACAGCAGACATCACTGCAGATTTACCGACAGAAAAAAAGGAATTAATACTGTGATAAGATGAAAACTGATAACACAATACTACTGCTGAAAGCAAATATGCAAGATCATCAGACTAGGTGAAGAGAAATAAGACGAACAATGGATCAGAAATATATGAACCTGACATCGCTGGTGTAACAACACCATCCGCTATCACCATAGAAGTACCAAAAAGAACAAGCATCAAAAGTAGCTTCTTTAGCATAGATGAAGTCTTGAGGCGCTCCTTGATCCTCAGAGACCTCTCGAGTTCGACCGATGGTACCTTGAGTTGGAAACTTGATATGCGGGTGTCAGAGGGCAGTTGGTTACGGAGGAGACTAGCCTTTGCATTCCTGCATATTAGAGAGTACAAAGCAAATATCCCTCCTGCCAAATATACAGAACAATCATTATTAAACATAAAGCTCAAATAAAAGTACTATTGTCTAATCTAGTTCCAATGGGGTGGTATTAATACCTTCTCCATCATCATTTCCCCATAAAACAATCAGAGTATACTTCAGAAATGGAATTAGAATCAGAGTGTATATTACAAGTGAGAGTGCTCCAAGCACATCCTCCTTCGAAGTATTTGGGTATTTGTTGAACATTATATCGAAAGTGTACAATGGGCTGGTGCCAACATCCCCAAAGACAACGCCTAACGTCTGAAGGGCCAAAACAATACTCCTTCCCATGGTAAATTCCTGAAAGGAAATGAAGAATCAAGATAGCAGCAAAGTCAAGGGCTCAACAATCAACATACTCATGCACATCTGATAACAATATCCTGTGCAGAGATGACGTATGCATGGCGGATATAGCAGCTGGAATAGCAATGTATGATCCATGAAAGTTGCTTCTTAAATTTACCAATTTACCATGACACAGCAAATTCCCATAATTATTTAGGAAAATTTAATAAAGACTAGAAAAAAATGCTTAGATCTCATCACAAAAAGTGGGCCTTTGCACATTGACTGCTCTGCAAAAATATGATCTTCACTAGAATTTTTACTGTGATATTGATATTTGTTTTTATAAACATGGTCAAGCATAGAAAAGTTTGACTTCTGCAAAAAAAAACACCTTATATTTTGGAATGGAAGCAGTATTTTACTTCTAAAAGGTATATATTATGACAAAAATCTACTTATACCAATTTCATATGGCCGATCTAGAAATTTGCAAAGAGGTTGTGGGCAAAAGAAAAGTTGTTCAACTACATGGGTCTACAAAAGAAAAAGGCAGCCCGGTGCACATAGCTCCCGCTTGCGCAGGGTCCAGGGAAGGGTCCGACCACTTTGGGTCTTTTGCACGCAGCTTTTCCCTACATTTCTGCAAGAGGCTGTTTCAAGGACTCGAACCCATGACTTCATGGTCACAACGCAACAGCTTTACCGCTGTGCCAAGGCTCCCCTTCCCTGGTTTATCTACAAAGTAACCAAAAAAAACTTATCTCTACTATTAAAGGGGAGTTGGTAGGCTCGCCTCGCCTCTTCCCCCAGTTTTTTCATCCCCGCGTCCCCATCCCCGCTTGGTTTTTTGTAGATTTTGTCGGTAATCTCAACCGATGCCACACAAAACAAAAAATGCATATATGGCTCTGAACCAAATCGATATTTTCCTTTCCTTGTCCTACCCATTCCCTTAAAACAAAAAAACAAAAAACAGCATCCATTAATTTATGGAAAATATCATTGTTATGGCGCTGCTAGAAGGAGGGCGCGAGAGGGCCGGGCGGGGGCCTTTTGCCCATGGCCGGGCAAGATGGAAGGGATTTCCTTCTTAATTCTTGCTTGATTAGATTGATACATCTCCTCTCTTTATATAGAGAGGTTTACTTGACTCCCAAGCAAGGCTTACTTGACCCCTAAGCAAGCGACCCTTATCTCTAATTAACCCTAAGACTAACGGGCTATACCGCCAGCCCAGGCCATTAGGCGCATTACGTACTCTAACACGACACCCCACCTGGACATGCAGCTTGTCCTCGAGCTGCAGCCTAACCAACTTATAACCATGACTCGACGCAACACAAACCTAACACCTAAAAACAAGCCTTTTACATCTCGGCTTGTTTTATTACTCTCAACCTGAAATGGACTGGGACGATTTATTTTGGACCCCTTAACAAAAAGTGGACACCATCCGCACGTCGGACGTGCACATGTACAGCCACCTGGATCCCATGGACACCATCTGGACAAAAGGAGTGCATGTGTATGGCCACCTGGAAGTGGTCGCAAGAGCGACCAGCAGAGGCGTCCTCGCGGCGGCCAGCGGAATACAATGGTGCTACGCGGTGCACTCCTATCGGTGACACCCTGCCTTATCCCCGCCGGACGGCTGTTGG